CTCTTTCCTTCGTTTGTGTGGTTGATTCAAATCACTGTCCTTAATTTCCTCCAGGACTTTCTCACTAGAATCAGTAGATTTTGAAACCTCCATCGCATCATGCAGATTTTCATCATTTTTATCACTTGACTCTTCAGATTTTTCATCCTCTTCGGCTTGGCTCTGAAGTGATTCTATAACACCCATCATTTCTCGATTAACCTTTAATAAAAGACCAGAAAATAAACAAAACAAAATTAAGAGTAGAAAAAAATACCAATTTGGATATGATGAAATAACAATCATATATTATATTAGTACATGTAAAATTTGCAACGAAAATTCATTTCTTAAATAACAGACACTCAAGTTCAAAATAAAGCTAACTGAAGCCATTGAAACATTACCGTTCCAGCTTCCTCACTTAATTCCACAATTTTAAAAAAGGCATAAGCATTTTATAGTAAATTAGGAATACAATTGATAATATACTAATAAGAGTTGGATGCAAACTTGGTGCAGATATAAAATACTTGATGGTTTATTCTGTGATACCTGTGGATTCTGGAGAAAGTCAGCAATGTCATTTGAACATGATGGGCATTTCATAACACTCTTCTGTGCTCTTAAAGTGCGTCCACTTTGACAAGCCCTGTTTCTGATGAAACTTTGGCCAGAAAAGGCACCCTCCAAACAGGCTTTGCAGAAGTTGTGAGCACAAGGTGTAGTCAGAGGGGAAGACAACACCTTGCGACAGATTTGGCAACCAAACTCTGTAAATATATGAAGCCAGGGTCAAAATTGAATACATTTTCAAAACCACAAATAAAATGACTCAACTACAACGGAAATTTTTTTAATAAAAAAATAACAATTACTTAAGACAAGGGAATAAAAGTTAGAAGTTGTCAATACTATGGGAACATGTATACACAGCATACCTTTCAATAGCCTTTCTTTCACGGACACATCCTTTGCTTTTCGTTTAACCCTCACTTTTGTCCCATCTTTATGCACCGTTTCCACTGATTTCCTGCTCTCTGGCGGAGGCTTCTTCCACAACCAGCACCCCTTTTCCTCCTGAATTTCATTAAAACCATTTAGCGAGACCCTTCAAAGTACATAAAACATCAAAGTTGGAACAACACATGACTAAGTCGCCATCACATGTAACAAAACGCAAAAGATAATCTAACAGCAACTAATAAAAATAGAGCACAAGAACTAACGTCATAATCCCATGATGGATCACCCTTCCTCTCAGTTACACCCTCTGCACCCTTCAGCTCATCAATTTTAGGCAGCGGGCGGGGTCGGTCTCCACACTCATCACTGCACATCAACGAAATAAGGTCAAATTCACATAAACAAACACACAAACAGATGATTTAATAGAAAGAACCAACCAACCTCGTCCACGGTGCTGGCTCATTATCACATCTTACAAACAAATACCTACAGACCTTCAAACCCTATCAAAGAAAAAACAAAATCACTTGCAAACCTCATTCAATGTAAATCAACAAACACAATGACCGTCACTACAAGTATCCGTATCTTACCTGAATTCCATCCTTGCGCCAGCATTTCTCTATCCTATAAACCCCATCATAACGCACTCCAGATTCTGGTGCGTAAGAGGAACGTTTTTCCTTGTGCGACCTGAGCAGAAGAAAAGACGTTCAATAAACATAAACAGGGCAAAAGCTAATAAAGTGAATCTTAATTTAAAATGTGGGTGGTTTGTGATAATAGTATTAGTGAAAGAAATGGAAATATGATGAAGATGGAGAAAGGTGACCTTACAACCCTAACAGGAAAACCCTTTTTGCAGCTGAGTCTCAAGGCCTCATTCAAGCTGGTAAAGGACTGGTCAAAGGATTGGACCTTGGAGGTGCGCTTGTTACCGGTGAGATCTCTGCCACCACTACCAGTGTAGAGGAACCATTCACCATGGTCCTCATCATCCTCGTAGCCACCAGAAAGGGCAACAGACTGAGCACCATAAGCACTCTGTCCAGCAATGCCGGCAACATGAGGCAAATGAGCACCCCACTGCCGACACTCCAGGCGGTCACCCCACGTGTCCCCAACAAGAACGCCACGGTTACGAGTCGGGTCGTTCTCAGCCGGAATGGGCCCAAAGTGGTCGGGAGGAACAGTGACGAAAATCTTACCACTACAGGCGTTCGCCTTCCCAGTTTTCTTAGCCCGCTCTGTCGTGAAAGCAGTGTCGGGCCGATCCTCATTGTGGACAAAATGATAAGTCTTGGGCGCCCCGGAAGGCCCACCTGACTTGGCCACTTTCGCCAATCGAATGGCCATCGCCAGCTGGGAATTGATTCTGGGCTGACTCGCCATCTTCGCTGGGATCAGAGCCCGGCAATTTGCGCATGTGCGTTTTCCCTGTCCGATCCATTTCTCGAAACATCTCAAACAGAAGTTGTGTCCGCAAGGAGTCTGAAATGCAAAACTCTCATAAATATATAAAAAGAAAAGGGGAAAAAAAACCAAAGAGAAGAAAACCAAACGAACCGTGACTGGTCTCTCCGGTAACTGCATGCAAAAAGAGCAGTTTAAGCTTCCGTCGAATATATCGGTGGTCTTGGAGGGCTCTGCGGAGGATCCGCCGGCGCCGGCGAGGAGTTGTTGACGCTTTTTGGCCTTTTGATGGTCAGTGAGTGAAGCGTCGGACTGAATGTGGCGAATGGCGGAGAGAAGATGGGCGGAGGGGGCAACGGGTTGATGATTGGAAAGGTCGGAGCAATCGGGGCAGTCCCAGTGGGTGTCGGAGAGGGAGAGAGGGGGCGAAGGGAGACAAGAAAGGTGCCATGGTGTGGCGCACGTGCGACACGCGAGAGTTTGGGAGGGAGAGGGTTTCTGTTTGCAAAGCATGCATTGGCCATCAGAGTCACACGGAAGTTGCTGCGCCATTTCCACTGGAAGTAAGTTAGTTTGAGCCTTTGAGGGTTTTATAGAAAAATGGGAGAGGGAACAAATCATCCTTTTGAATTATTTCCATTTACTGCACTTTCCCTCTCTTCTTTTCGCCTTTCCCTCTCGCGCCCTTTCACTTCTTAGTTCTTTTCCTTCATACTGCATACCAATTAATTAATTAATAATATATTATTCCTTCCTATTTTTTTAATTCAACTACCTATTTTATAGAGTTGTAACAAATCTAATTGTTAAATTCAAATCATTAACTAATTTAATTTTTATCCATTACCAATTTTTATGTTAGACCATCTATTAAATGTCCCATTCATTTCTTTCAATACAGAGTAAAACTTTTCTTATTCAATCTTCAATTTGAATCCTCTCCTATAATATTCTCTCTCCAATCTCTCTCCTGCAACATTAATAGTCATTGGATATATCTAATGACTCAAATTTAATTATTTAAAAAGTTACATTAATTATAAGATTAAATTTGAGCCATTAAATATATCTAATGACTATTAATGTTGCAGAAGAGAGGCTGGAGAGAAAATATTGCAAGAGAGGATCCAAATTCATCAATCTTACACTTTGCTTTCAAAAAATTATAAAATTTGACCACTAATTATGTATACTCATTATTACGTTTTCTATTCAAATGCATAATTTTTTATTAAAATAAATTTTTTTAAAAATCTTTTTATCAAAAAAGCACATGTACCACTTTATTTACCCAAATAGCACCTTTCACTATTTACGTTCAGAATTCGGTTATCTGAGAACCGAATTCTGAGCTGTTAAATTTTATTTTTTTTTTGCGTTTTTGATTAGAGTATGGGGTAAAACTGGATCCGGAATGGTCCGTTCTGAAAGGAGAACGTTCGTGCTCCTTTCAGAACGGTCTGTTCTCCTTGCAGAATAGGCTGTTCCAGATGCAAAAAACACACACATGACGAATGGATCAAAACAGGTCGTTCTGGTTTCAAAAATAACATACTACGTGTGCAAGCAGAACGGGAGAACGGGCCGTTCCTGCTGCAACATTAACAGACAACCCGAACTCCAAACAGAAAAGAAAAAAAAAGTTTAAACACTACTCAAAATTCGGTTTCCCGGGAACCGAATTCTGAGCAGAAAAAAAAATTAACAACTTTGAATTTGGTTCTCCAGGAACTGAATTTTGAGTGTAAACAGTAAAATGTGTTACTTTTTTAAATAAATTAGAACAGGTGCTGTTTTGGTAAAAAAAAATTAAAAAAATTATTTCAGTAAAAAATTCTTCAAATGCGTTAATGAATATAGGAGAGATAAAGGGTGTGTTTGAATAATATATAGAGTTAATCATTCATATACTGTTGGTATAAAAAATTTTACACTGACATGATATTATTAAAAGCTATGATTGGTTGCCAGTGTAAAAAAACTTTACACTGACAGTGTATAGGTGATTAACTCTAATATATATAAATATTCATGCACTCAAACAGAAAAATATAAATGTAGGTGGATTGAATTAAACGTAAATTTAACTATTGAAAAGGTCAAACATACACAAAAATAATTGAGTTTTTACATTTTAATTCTTTTAGAAACATTTAGCATATACCGGTGTATTATATATATATATATATATATATATATATAAGTTAATATCTATGCTTATTTGAATTTAAGTAATAAAATATTTATTAATTTTAAAAATTCTAAAAAGACTATATAATTAATATATTTAATAAGAAATTTTAATTTAGTATTGGTTGAAAATTAGGGTAGCCCGTGAGTTCTTGAGTAAAACGATTCTACTGAGACTTCATTTTGTTTTTTTGCTAATTAACTCTTGGTATGCAAGTATTTTCTTACTTTTAGAAATTACAAAGACAACAATAGAATTAGAATTTAGGATCTTGTATATATTAAGAGTGGATACGTGAGTCCCATATATTTTTAGTGCAAACTCATTTTTTTTTAATTTGTATAATCATAATAATTTTTTTTACTCAATCTGTGAAACTCGGGATTTTTGCGGTTTAATCCAGGCAAAAACCCTATTTTAGTCCCCTATATTAATTGTTTGTTTCAATTTAGACCTACTTTTATTTTTGGTTTCAATTTGGTCCCAAACTAATTAATTGGTTTCAATTTAGTCCCAAATTAATTAATTGGTTTCAATGTGGGACTTCCGTCCAAATTATTTAAACGGAATTAACTTTTGGCCACGTAGATGCATACGTGGATGCCACATGGACGACAATTTTTTTGAAAACACCTGGACCCAGAACGGCCCGTTTTGGTTTCACTTTTGGTGTGTTAATTTTGCAATTGAAACGGGCCGTTCCAGATGCAAAAATTAACACATGCAGCAGAACGGGCCGTTCTGGTTTCAGAACGGGCCGTTTTGGTTTCAGAACGGGTCGTTCTGGATTCAGAACGGCCCGTTCCAAAATTGAGAATATACTTAATTGTGTTTTTGATCGCTCAAGTATTATAATTATGCAATTTTGATCCCTAAGGTTTTAATTGAGTAATTTCAGTCCTTAAAAGATTACAGTTGTGTAATTTTAGTCTCACAATTTTTAATTGAACAATTTTAATCTCTCAAATATCATAATTGTGCAATTTTAGTCTTTCTCATTAAAATTTTAATAATTTTAAAATTTTAATATATATATATATATATAATATTTTAAAATTATATAATTGTTTACTTATTTAAATTAACGTAT